ATATATATAAAGAAAATCTGTATTCGGCAGATATCTGAATACCGATTTCACATGCGTTAGGCTCCATGATGAGAGCCCGCGTGATGTGCCTAAATATTCGAGAACTCAGCGCCACTGGAGATTGAACCCGTGACCTGAGAGGACTTACAGTGAACCCCGCCAACCAACTGACCTATGCTCTGCACGCACGCACGCACGCACACACGCACACATGCACGCACGCACGCACGCACGCACCCACGCACGCACCCACCTACATATATATTGAAAAATAAAAGGCTCTGATACAAAATATTGCTCTACAAGCAAGAATAATGTGGTGTATAAAATCAAAAAAGCAAAAATAATAAAAAATCATTCTGATACAAAATATTGCTCTACAAGCAAGAATAATGTGGTGTATAAAATCAAAAAAGCAAAAATAACAAAAAATTATTCCTTTACATAAAATTTCTCAATAGTTTGAAGAATGTAAATGAGCGAACAAAATTAAGTATAACTAATAAGATATAACAATCCAAATATTACTCCACTTTGGATGACTGAAAATTAATATATAAAAAATCACAATATTTTTGAAATAGTTGAACTTATTTAATTCAATCAAAATTAGATTAGACGACCGGACTTAATAATTTCGCATATTGGAGTAGTTTTTGGGCTCACAATATTAGAAGCTGGTCCAAATCTATTTTTAGAAAGTGATGTCAGCGTACAAATTCTGGAAGTATTTTTATTAAAAATAAAAAAAAAACTTAGCCATATATATATATGAGGGGCCAATTTTGTATATATATATATATATATATATATATATATTGTGGGAAGGCCAAACTTAGCCATATATGTATTGTGGGAAGTTTTGCGACAGTAGAGTAAATCATTTTAGCATTGCACAGAAGTCCAGCACACAATTAAGTAATTAAAAATAAGTAAACAAGAGGAGTAACTCAATTTTTTTGTAAAAATATTGGAAAAAGAAAATAATCACGGGGTCCAATCCAGTTGAAATAATTTTTTATGAATTATAAGAACATATATTCACTATTATCCTGAATTAAGGGATATAAAGTTACAAATTTAATCATTGTAAATATACAACAATAGTTCATCAACAGTGGTTATAGTCTGGTTGTAACGAATATACTTCTTGGTGAAGATAAGTTGCAAGGGTCGTGTTCAATTGTTATGGAGGGTGTGTCCGTCATGAATATTGTAAATGCTGGTAGCAGTGTCAGGTTGCTTTTTATATTGTAGTTGAAATTCATGTTAGTAGTTGTCTGTGTGGCTCACAAATTGTTTCTTTAGGGGCATATGTTGACTATAGATGTCATAGTAGAAAGCTGAAGGAGTTGTGAGCTATGAAACCTGTAGTTGGTCACATAAGCGGAAGTGGTAAGGTGGTGGGTTGCGATAACATTGGTTGGTCATAAAGACTAGAGTTGAGAGATATATTAACTGTGGGTTATGTACGTCATAGCTGGCCATGTTGGCTGTAATGATGAGTTGTGATGACGTCTGTAAGCCATAGAGGCAGGAGTTGATTGTTGCACGAGATGTAAGGTATGTAGGCTTTAGTTGGTCACATAAATTGTAGTTATGAGTTGTGATGATATTTGTAAGTCGAAGGGGTTGGAGTCAGAAGTTGCACGAGTTATGAACCACTGATCCATGTAGGTTATAGTTAGTCAAATAGAACGTAATGGTGAGTTGTGATAGCATCCGTAGGCCATAGAAGCCGAAGTGAGGAACTGCACGAGCTGTAAGCAACATAAGTCAGAGTTAGTCATGTATGCCGTAGCAGTGAGTTGTGATGACATTCATAGATCGCAATGGTCGGATTAAGCCATACCTGCTCTAGTTGATTACATGGGTAGTGGTTCTTAGTTGTGAGTAGAGAGCTTTAAGAGTCTAGAGAAAATCTCCATCTTTGAGGTACAATGTTACAATGTTTTCGAAAAGAGTTATTGCACCTTATGTGAGGTGTGTTTTTACACTATCATTGGGGTGTGTCGTTGCACCGTATTTGAGGTGCATTGTTATACCATCTTTGGGGTGTGTCATTGCATGGTGTACTGGATGACACATTGCTTCAATGAGTTTCATTGTTCCACAAAGAACTCTAGGATTTTGCATTGTACGTTGTGACTCTACAAGTGATTTTGTTATAAGGGGTAGGTAGCAGCTAATGGTGGTCGATTGTAGAGTTGACAAGTGGTGGTTGGCGATGATCAATAGCTGCAGGAGTTGGAGAATTTGCAAGTTCTTTGATGCAAAAATGTTTCTCGAAGCTCTTGTAATCTTTTGACTCCAAGTCTTCTTCTCACTTTAGGTCTAGGTCCCTTCTCAAGAGGGGGGTATGCCTCTATTTATAAAGTATGGGAGAGTTATCTCTACAAATAAAGATAAGGAATTTAGACCACTACAATGAACGACCCTAAGAGATTCCCTCGATCGGATGACGTTCAATGATTATTCGAGTGCCTTAATGATGTTAGAATTGAGTAATCTTGGATTCATTGGATTCTTTTTTGTCGGGATGCTTGATTTATCTATAAGCTTGTCCGATTTGGAATATGTTTAACCTCCAAATTATATACTTAAAATTACTAAATATGATTTAACAATTTGATCTGGACTTGATTTGATTAAGATTAGACTGATTTTGAGATCATTGGGTCCATCTCGTCGAGCTGGATAGTATGACTGGAAGTTTGATGAAATCAAGTTCTAGATGATTTTTAATTAAAATTTGAACATTTGTTGCTCAAAATATTATTCTTAGATTCGTGTCATGCCTCGAGATTCTTCTGACATTTTTTATTAACATGTATCAATATATTTGTTAAGGTGATAGTATTATTTTGTATAGAGTGAATGTGATAATATTGTAGCCTTACAGACCGTAAATAAACTTATAATTAAACCAAAACAACTAGCAGTAAAAAAAAAAAAAAAAAAAAACACACTTTGAGCTAAAATTAACTCATTATATCCAATATACAATTCCAAAAGAAACGTAAATCCAAATAACGCACGATCATCAACATTAGTCATCCAAGCTTAAAATGAAATAATAGTTACCCTCACAAACCCTAAACCCTAAAAACAACCAACCCCAACATTAACCATGTCGCCACTTACATTATTTTCACAACGAAAAGCCATTTATTCAAGCCTTTTTAAATGGTCAACTCCACAACTAAAGGAGCATCTCCCTTCTCAACTAGAAATGTATGAATAATCTTCTTCCCAAATGTAACAATCTCAGCAGTATAAACGCCATGAAAACCTCTAAACAAAAACTCCCCATCGTCATTAACACTCCCAAAAGCCTGTGAAAGCCACTCCTGCTTAAGAGCTAAGAACCTCTTTCCTGCTTCATTAACTTCACCTTCCGCATCCACCAAATACGCATTCTCCCTGCTCATCAACAGCTCCCAAAATCCCCACAACATAATCCCATCCACCGCTGGATGAGCATAAACTTCTCGAAGCATAGTCTCCAAATCATCAGCACGTACATACTCGTTTGTCGAAAAAACATCGATCTCCGTGAACCATACAGGAAGGCCCAGCACTCCTAACTTGTCCAATGCGGAAGAAACTATTGGTCCTGCAGGACAATCAATGTGGCCCTGCACTCCAATTCCTCCCACATTAGCTCCTTGTTCCTGTAAATCTATAATTTGCTTGATATACTTCTCGGGAGAAGCTCGAGTATCAGTTCCATCCTCCACATGATAATCATTCACAAAGAGTATTGGTGAAGGATCCAACTGAGTTGCTGTCTTGAACATGTTTGCTCTAATATCTTTTCCAAGTCTGTCTTGATAGAAGAAGCCATGAAGCATTTCGTTGTTCACATCGTAGTGTTTGAATTTTCCTTTATATCTTGTTAAGAGACCAGTGAGGCGATTCTGCACAGCAATCATTAAATTGTTCTTGCTGAGGGACTGCACCCATGGTTGAACTGTTGATTCCACTTCCCAGAAAATACAGTGGCCTCTGACTAGAACTCCATTTTTGTTGCAGAAATCTAAGAGCTCATCTGCATCAGTATAGTTGAAATTGCCCTGTTGTGGCTCTGTCCAGTACCATTTTAGTTCATTTCCGAAAACTGCCCAGTTAAAATTATTTTTGAAGAATTCAACGAAATTTTCATTGTCAATATCGGTTCGGTTGATGCATGATCCTATAGGGAAGCTGTTCTTAATCTGCCTAACCTTCACTGAAGTTCCGAAGACATCATCACAATAGCACCCTGAGATTTTCAGAATTACATCTCTCTTCCTTACCTGCCATTTAACATGATGAAAATCACATCTTGTAACAATTTCCTTTGCAAAAAATGTAAATAAATATAGTTTAGTGATGATACTATAAAAATATGCACCTCATCAGTTCTCTTCTTAAGATATTTGAATCTTGCTTTCCTGTCAAGTGGGAATACCTGTAGCCCTGAAACCATTAGATCAACGCCAGCCAATGGACCTTGAACATAAACTATAACTTTTGAAGGTGATTTCTCTATTCTGAATGAACCTCCAATTTCATACCATCTATCATCTAATGCTTCCACTTGACCACCATTAACATACTGGTTGTCAACACCAAGAGCTACATTGATGTTCTGAGGACCATTCCTAACTGAGCTCACTCGAACCCAAGCTGATACTTGGTATGTCACAAACAGCCTCAACTTATCTGTGATAGTTTGAGATGGTCCCATCCATGTTTGTGATCGATTTGCGACGAGAATATAACGACCGTTTAAGGGTTCATGGCTTGCTAAGGAATCTTTTGCCATTGGTGGGAGTATGCGAGGCGCGCCCTGTGCGATGCTTAGAGTGCAGGGCCCAAGAGGTGACCAACCATTCAGGTCATCTGTGAGGTTGCTGTTTGTAATTATGTTTACTCCATAGAGCACATTCTAAAAAGACAAAGCGTTAATTGCGTTAGAAAAGTACCAGAGAAATCAGTAAGGCTGTTCTTTCAGTTACTGCGAGCAAGAAAGAAATTCATGTTTTGTTTGGAGGCAATGTAAGCATCAAAGAAGCCAATGATAGCACAGATTTGTAAATTACACAATGTTATTTGTAAACAAAGTTGTTAAATTACATTCAATTCCTTCAAACTAATATTTTCAAAGTAAATGCATATAGGATTACCTCCGTGTCAGGAGGAAGAGACGGTGGGAGCTTCTGAGAATGCTGAACAATCATAGAATTCAAAAGAATATCCACCCCAGGAGGCGGACCTTCAAGATATATAACAACCTTCGACGCCACACTATTCACTAAAAACTTCCCCTGCAACTGTACCCATTCCTTGTCCGTGGCTTGGACTCTAAAGCAACAAAAATGTCATTTTTACACCACAGCTTGCATGAATCAAAGCAATATTGGCAACAAAATCGTGGACTGACCGAGTAATCGCAATGTATTGTTCTTTTCCATTTGGCTTTTGGACATACAAAGTGGCCTGAATTGTGCTGGCTGGCGAGCCAAATATCCTAACTGCAGAGGAGATGTCATAAGCAAGTTTTCTTTCAAATCTGGCTGTGATCTCTTGCTGAATTCCGTTCCAGGATTGTGTGCGTCCGGTCGTCGAAGCGAAGTGTTTTCCGGTTAAGGGGAGGACCTTTCCATTTGCCAAGGATTCACAGAGAAGAATCTTGCAGCCTCTGCCGGACCAGTTGCTGATGCCGTCTTCAAAGCGAGGGTTCAGAATGATGTTTTCTTCTCCGGCTTCAATAGAAGTTTTTATGTTTATAGTTTCCTATTGCAAATGAGAAGGAAATGTTGAGATTGGGCCTTACTTTCTAATGCTCTTTATTTATTTCTATTTTATTAGACAGAAGAAACCAGAAAGGTTTTCAAATCGAACTTGTGGCCAATCGAGTTAAACTCAAACTAATAAAGAAAAGTGTAAAAAGACACTTAGATCGACAAATCGATCCCGGTTCTTTAATTCTTGCTGGCCCAAATAACCTTTTTAATAGCTTATAATTCTTAATTCGCTAATTATTATTTTTTCGATAAAAATTAATCTTTGTATTATAATAAATTAAACGTATAATCATAAATTTAAAAATCTTAAATCTAATTAACAATAACTTAAATAACCTAATCCAAAGCATACCTACCATCGGGTGAGTTACAAACTCAAGATGGGACTAAAATTTATGGACATGTTAAATTTTGATTTGACGAATAGAAATACAAAATATCTATAAGATTTGTGCTTTAGAAATAATAAATAGGTTACAAGTTGTTATAATATTTTAATAATATTTTTAACTGTTTTTTGTATTATAATTTTAATTTATTATTTTCTTAAATTACGTTTTTTATTAAAAATTATGTTTTGACTCTCTCTCTCTCTCTCTCTCTCTCTCTCTCTTTATATATATATATATATGGGTGTGTGTGTTTGTAAAGACATTTAAGGGTCTGTTTAAGGCAGTTGCAACTGTTTGAAGAAGCAGTTGTGAAGTTAAAAAACAAGTAGTTGTTCAAAAAATTATGGTGGTTATTAAAAAAAAATTTTATTTTGAAAAAAATCAGACTGCAGCTTTTTAGCAATCGCTGCAAGTAGTCGGGTCTCGTGGAAAAATGCAGCTTTCAACTGCAACTTTTTGAGAATGCAGACAAAACACAGTTTTGCCATACTGAAAAACTGCGGTGCGACATCGCATGGTATCCTAAATATATCTTTATGAGTTTTTTATTAACTTTTAAATTTGCAATTATTTAAGATTTTACTTATAAAATTTATATATTTATTTATCGCTTATTTATATTATTTAAATTATATTAAAAACTTAAATCTTTATTATGTCATCTAGTTTAGCCCTCACTAAATTATTAAACATTTCAATCTCTCCTTTTATTTCATTAGCCGCTCAGATTTTCACAACCTTGATTAACAACCTATTTGATTTTATGCTTACATAATATGCATGCATCATCTTAATCGTTCATTGGAAGAGCCTACTTTCGTCCCCTCATAAAAATCAACCAATCAAATTCTGTTTTAAGGTTTAGATCAAAGGCAGGCACTAACCATATAAACCTTTGCCAAATGATTAAATTTCTATTGTCTAAACTTCTTAGCTCTAATTTCTTTTCAGCCCACAACAAATAAAAGGTTACATTTTTCATTAAAAACATGATTTACAGATTAGTTTCTGAATCTTGCTGCATCAGAGTACCTGCAAGTCATTCATGTTGCACTTTTGGGAGTGATTTTCAGCCATGAACTTTCGTAATATTCCTCACTGCAACCTTCCAAAAGCAAAAAAATAAAAAAAAATAAGAAGTGAAATTAAACTATTGCAATTACAAATTGTTATAAAAATAAAAATTTGAGATGAGTTTCTTACCCTTCAGCACACAGTATAGATGAGGTCCCATATCGCTTATATATAAATAAAGCCACTAAAATAGGTCATGGCTTAAAGGAAGGTGAAGTAAATAAATAAGTAAATAAATATTCTGTACAAGCAACCAACAGCTGAATGGTTAACTACAACTGCAAGCCAAAGCAATGGCCATATTGAGTTAAAAACCATAGTTATCCAAAAAGCCAAGTAAAACTCAATATGCTAAGGATTCTTTTTTTTATTTTATTTTATTTTATTTATATTTTAATTTAAAAATAAATAAATTTGATATGTTTAATAAAGATATAGTACTTTAAAAACACTCAAAACATTAAAAATATATATTTGCGTGCCTTTTCAAAATATGTTAATTTATTTTTAAAATATAAATATTCAAAAAATGCACTGAACAAATATATTTAAAAAAGGATCCCAAACAATTTCTAGGTTTTGTTCTTTTCGCATTAATAAAGTTAAAATTCTAAGAATGTTGTAAATGATGACGATGTCAGAACACTGATTTCTTTACTTGAGGTATAAGATGGATTGCTTTAACTTTCTTTCAATCCTTGCAAACCCAAGGAAGGTTTTTCACTATATTCTCTTTGGTTCCCCATGCGGACCCGCATAATGTCTAACATGAAATTTAATTTTCTCTTCATAAATTAAGAGATAAATTCATTTCCCCCCATATTTAAAAAGAATGAAAATCTTAAGAAATAAATATTTGACTTAAGTACCAATGAAGCTTTTGGCTACCTCAAAAAAAGAGGTCACTTTGGCCTCTTGATAGTTCCCCCTGTTAATTATAGTTATAAATGATATCATATGAGTATGATGTATTCTCACCATGTGGATTCTTATGGATCCAACATAAGAATTCATGCTCTTTAATTAATTATGTCGTTTGTGAATGAACAAATGTGTTCTCATATTAATTGGACTATTAATAGTGCACACATAAGAGTTGTTTTTCGTTTGTGAAATAATGTCATTTCTTAATTTTTTTGGACTAAGTTTTCAACAACATAGGAATGTCACCTACCATTATATTTGATAAATTAGTGTAGATTTTTAATGGATAGTATGGGCCAATTAAGTAAGTTTTATAATGTTTATACAAAACACTCATAGGTATGGTATTTTGTATTGTTTGGCCCTAATGAGCTCAGTCTCACTCATGAGCCTATTAATTTATTGTTTTATAAACATGCCCTAATCCTTATCATCCCTACAAATGTTTAATGTGCATATTAATCCTTATCGCTCATGAGCATATTAATGATACTTTTTAAAGATTTGATCCATGATATAGTTATTGCTTAATGTGATATGTGATGAGGAATATATTTTTTATGCGGGTTGTGAAAAGGCAATCGATGTTTAATTTTTGTTCTCTGTGCTAAATGTTTGTGTCCGTTTTCGGACACAAATTTCGAAGGTAAATCAACAAAAAAATTTTGAAGTTATACGATATTTTCCAAATCAAATTCGACTACAACACAATGCAAATATTTATCGTCCGATATTTTCAGAATTAAATTTCTACAGATGCTTCGTATAAACAAATCAGACGCTATATGAAGCAAAAACTGACACAAATTATTTGGGTCAGAATATTTCAACGTAAATTGGACGTAAATATAATTACAGACCCTCAATTTAACGACGAAAAAAATAGTGCATAAATTAGACGCAAATCCGACGATAACTCTTAAATATCGTCAGATCTACACCAAATTTGCGTCTGATATAACTGACACAAATATGCTTAATTCTTGAAGTTTATATTATAGTATAGCCAATATTATTTAACTACCATCTCTTGATTGTCATCATTATCCTTCACCATTTCATAATCATTCCGAATTAGTACCACATGAGGCTGAGCTATTATTGTGTTATTAATCTCAATCAAAACAATACATTATTTTATTCTTGCCAATTATCAAAAAAATTTTCAAATAAAAAGTTTGACATCTCTTGTTCTTTTTATTCATCAATTTGATCACAGAATTTTTATGCAAATTTTGGATTAAAAAGTTTCACTATTTGTCATAATTTTCTTAGAAGATAATAAGTTGGTGTCACTTATCATAGCATGGTCCGTGAAGGCCACCTAGGCCAAATTTCAAGGTATAATCTTAGCAAGGTAAAAGATTAATAAAACTCAAAACTTTTTTTTTTTTTTGCTTTCATGAGAATCTAGCTAAAAAAATAACATCATCACACCATAATAAAAAAATATACACCATAAAATCAACTATAGACTATGATTAAATAATACAAAAGCACTAATGCAGGGTCTCCTCATCACCATTTTGGAGTTCCTCCTCCACAATGGTCTCACTTGGGTCTCTTGAGGACTGTCAAGTTAGCCAATCCTTAGAATGTTTCTCAACGACCAACATCAATAATCACAACTAGCTAGCATTTATCAGTATCCCATCATCATCATCTTTCGATCATTTCTTGATTATCACTGTCTCAAAAAAAAAATTTGCTCGAACACCAATGGTTGTTTATCAGCCCTCGAATGTCATTATTTGGCTATTGCTAATGCCCAACTATCATTGTCATTCTATTATCATCTGGCAGTTGCTCTTAAAATAACTACTTTTACAATCATCCTTTAATACCCTGATTTACAAAAACGAATATTTCTGTGCAATGACTTTGTCATTAAGAAGTCAAAAACGGTAAGAATTAATGCCTCAATCTTTTATTAATCTCATCGTTTAGACATTCCTTACTTAGCATCTTATTAAGACAGTTGTTTATATTTTTCCAACATTTTATGCCTCGCCGTTATTTAAAAATATTTAAATTATTGAGTAGAAGTTCTCTATCACTTTCTATCTATAATGTTTTGCATTGCATTTACTTGTCTAATATTTTTTTTAATATTTATTTCTAATAATATTTTATTATTTTACTTACATTAAATATATATAATTAAAATGTGTGCTTTACTTAAGAAAATATTATTAGTGATTTCATTGTAATATAAATAAGAATTTAGGCGCATTAAAATTTACACCATACAATCCAAATGTATTTACATATCTAATATTTAAACTTTAACTTTTGTATTTATAACATTTTAATCTTTCAATGCAAGCGTTTACATGCATACCACTTTATTCTTATGTATTTACATTTCTAACACATAATTTTTTCTTAAAAAAATTTGTCATTCAAATATTTAATTTCGCACAAAAAATATCACTATTTTAATTTTAAAAATGTGAAATAAATTTTTTTTATGTATAACTATGATAATATATATGTAAAATTTAAAATTCAGATGTTAGAATCGTAAATATATAAATCTCTACAAAACAATAACAATATTATTAATTTTTATAATTTAATCACATCTTATCGTAAAATAATTAAATATAAAAATAATAAAATTAGGTGCTAGATTTGTAAATACAAAGTATGTCTGTAAATCATCCCACAACGCAAAGCTTTTTGTGGGCGCCACGAGAAGGGCAGTCCGGGCGTCGATCGGCTGGCGCTACTAGGGCATCGGCGTTGGCTATGCCGTCGCGTGCAACGTTCGGAGCTCCCTCGACCAGCCTTTTTGAGTAGTGTAGTGCATTTGTAAACGGCGCAGGGAGAAGATTTTGCTACTTGTGGATCATTTTTGCGGTTTTTTAGTTGATGATTACTCTTTTCTAGCATAGAACAGAGGTTTCTTCTAGGTTTCTTAAATCATTTATTGTCTACTACTTCATTGGTTTCTTTTTTTGCGGGATCGAAGAAATAGTTATGCTTGCGATTTGAATGATGTTGTCTTTACTTTTCTTCCGAGCCGTGCGTGTTGTGGAATGCTCACAGTGATGTAGATCTTATTCCCAAAAAAAGCTTGGGCTCTTAAAGGCAGGTCATTGGCTTAACATTGAATTTTAGGGTTCTTGAATCTTGTGTGCTGCTGAATTTTATTGTTGTATTTTTTTATAAATATGTTTACATTATTGATTGCTTTAACCTGTCATCTTGACTGCATAACTTTAGAATAGGTAAACTTAGATGTGAAAGGTTGAACAAGTTTTGTTGAAGTGATGCGGGGGTTCTTTGTATCTATGTTTACTAATGCAACTAGAATATGCAATGAATGAAATCACACGAGGTGTATTTGAACTTCTTACTTTCAAAGGCCCTCTGTGAAAACAAGAATCCATCTTCTTTTACAACAAATTGGAGAATACGAGAAGTTTATACCAAAAGATAGCTTAATGATTGCCTAGATCAAAAAAGTTTGGCAGGAAATTTTAAACCTTCAAAAGTTCACAATGTGCTTGGATATAACGCTACATTTCAAAATTCAGTTGGAGCTAATTTCACTAATATCAATCATGCTCACAAAAAAAATATTAAATTATATGGAAGGAAAGAAAAAGAGCAAGTAAGAGATCTTCAAACACAAAAAAATTAGGCCTCACACCAGTGCTAATTGATATCTATGGAAATCGCATATGTACTGACATGATGCTCAATGTAATCAATATCTAATGAAACACAAAAGACTGAAAGCAAATTGAAAATCTTTTATGAAGCCAAAAAAATGCCTTTGCATCCATAAATTAGTACATTTACAAACATAAAAAATTCCTAAGTTGACTACACAGAAGCCACGCTTAAACAAAATGGGAGAAAAAGTGCAAGTCTTTATCATTTATAAACAATCATCCCAAAGTGTTTATGCTTAAAGGTAGGTAAAATGGAGGGGTTAGAATAGCAAACTAGCATAAAAAATTGGATAAGCATAAGTAGCGGCAAGCATTATTAATGCCTCATATGAGTGTTGAGTATTGTGGAGTCTGGTCCATTTCGCTCCTCTAGGCAGTTTTTATTTATGTGATAGTTATTCGAATTTAATTGTTATGTTAACTCTTTCCTTGATGAAGCTTTGCTTGTTTTCCACTTGGGGATTCCACCCTCCCGTTTTTAACGAATAAGGAATGCCACCCTCTGTTTCGCGAGATATAAGATCATCTGGTGTCTGACTCTTAAAAGAGGGTTTGCAGATGACGAACGA